ACTCACTTCATACTTGTAATTCCTCCCAACGACTATGATTTACTCATTCCATTTTTGATAATGTTGACTAATTCATTTTTTAATTTGACGAGTTGTCTCTTAATAAATGGCTCTATTGCCTTTCATTAAGACATGATTGGACTCTTAGTCTCGTTCTGAGAATCCACATCAGGCCCGTCAATTCTCTCCATATTCCAGGTGATTGCTGGAGTTTTCTCTCCATGATAATATGTATTCAGCTTAATCATCCTTGTAATTGAGCCACTTCTTATTATGGCCAGAGTTAAACTTTCACTTGCAGGCCAAAATTATCTCGTCATGAACTACTCATAAAGAGCCATAGACCGGGTATCCATATATATATATATATTTATTTCTTTGACCAGATGTCATCAGTCTCTCGGAAATGCCTTGTAGTTATTTTTTGAAGATTGACTCGCATATACTTAAAGTCGAATCTTTGTTGGAAACCGGCATGATCTTTGAAGCTTTACTATAATATTTTTCCTTCAAGATGAGGAGATCATAGCTAAAATCTATCTGACTCGAAGTTATTATTTGGAGATCTTGAAAGATTATTGCGTTATTATCGCATGAGTAGCACAAGTAAAGTAAACTATCATTTTAGTTACCTCTATATAGTTTTACTCTATCATATTTTGGCTACGGTTTACTTCTAGCTAATTCCAACTTAAAGAGTGATCTTTATTATGTTATTTCAATGGTTTTATTGCAAAGTAAAGAGTTTGTTATTTTCCCTATATGTGTCAAAGGGGATAATATTCTGATAAATCCAAGTTAAGACGGTGTGTGGGTAACGCACCCTTCCAACTTGTTTCATACAGCAGAACCTGTCTAAGTTAATTCTGCCGGGACCAACGGTTATGTATTAATTTAGACAGTTTATTAATAAAGAGAGGTTCTCTGTTGGGATCATTTGTGGTGGGAAAGTTATTAGCACATTGACTAGAGTCACTAGTTCTGTATGAAAAGCTAAAGTCTCGATGTAACAACGAGACATGTTTTGAGATTGAATTATCGAACTCAATAGCGTTATGGCACTGTTGTCAAACCCATAAGCTGCGCTCCAGAGGAACAAAACTCAAGATGGCTGTCACTTATGCTTGAAAGTTGCTTCATTTGTAACAGTTGTATTAATTATTAAAGTCAAAATTAACAAAGACTTGACACCAATCTAATTATGATTTACACAGAGGATTGAGTTGAAATTTAATGTAAGAATTTGAATCAATTAGATCTTTATTATCAATCAATGACAAATATATTTGTATCTTTAAATGTATTGAAGTAGATTAAGTCTAAATTTCAATTTGATGAAACATAGTACTTAATCATCGTGTTTGACTTGTCTCAATGAAAAAACATGTGATTTGGAATATGATATTCAATTCATTGATAAATCTTAATTTCTTCATATATTTGTATTGCATATTGTACTGTATAAAAAAATATAGAACTCTACGATCAAATAATTGTCTTGATATTTTGAAAGAATTTGAAATTTCATGCAACATGAATTTAATAAATAATGATCAAAGTATGATGTTTGCTTCCACACATGTCCAATGATTAGGAATGTTTTTTATGACACTTATATAAAATGATGACTTTCTTATTGAGTGATTGAACTGATCTTTCCACTACAACATTTTTATTCGAATACATTATTTTTCATTAAATTATAGCTTACATTTGTTTCACAATGACAATGAGATATAAAATAAACAGTTACAACAACAAAAAACGCAACGATTACACATGTTAATTTTGGAAGTAAGAATATATAAGTGTGAGCTGAAACTCCCCACCCTTCAGCGTTTGTAATCTAGGTGGGGGTTCGAGCTCCCAATATCTGACTTCTCAGTTCTCAAATCATGTACTTCAAACCTAGCCTTCTAAGTGTATTCAAGTGCTTTCTAAATATATTTCTAATGAATGCCACCTCGCGAACACGCTGCCTCGTACGAAGTTAGGTGACAGTCCTTCCGACAGCGATCTTCACACACAGGAAACGCTTCGCTGAGACCCCTCCCTTCACGAATTAACTCATTGTCGGCCCTCTCAATACTCTCGGCCCTCTCAGCGAGCACTGAGCCCTCGCCTACACTCTCTCGCTCAACCTCACGGCAATCTCTCAGCTCGCACACGGTACTCCCTCTCAAGATCTCTCTCCACCACCCCCGAATGATCTCTCAGCGATCTTGCACACACGGCTCTCCAGCGATCCTCTCGGCCCTCTCACACACTCTCACAATAAGTACACACACTGCCCATCTTCCCTCGACAACCTCAGACCCCACCAGATTTCTTTCTCAGATTTAACTTTCACATTTCAGTTTCAAATTCAGATCCCGACTGTCAGATTTCAGTCTCAGATTTCACTTCAATTTCAGCTCCCACTCACAAATTCGACACTTCGATCTCAGACCACTATTGAATTTCACTCTCAAATTCGACTCTCCACCCTTGAGAATTCGCTCCCTCCTCTTCGAATTCTCAACAATCCCCTCCTAATTCTCACCACTTCCCTGCGAAAAATCACTCACATCCACACTCCATCCCTGCGACCGATCCCACCTGCGTCCACACACACTGGCACCCCTCAAGATCTCAATTCCAAGGCCGAATTTTCCTTCTCTAAAGTCCGGGGGCCGAGGTACCAACAGGCCGCTTGAATGCCGTTCCCGCAATGATGGGTGACGGCCTACTTCCCACGCGCGACTTCACGCCCCGCCGTCTTGCTTCCCACGCTTGACTTCACGCCGCCGCCGCCGCAACACTTGTACATTCTACATTCATGACCATGCCGACTTCTGCCGAAGGAAATCTTCTTCCGCGTACCGCCGAAGGCATTCTATCGCCGAAGGCCCTCTACCGCCAAAGGCCCTTGTGCCGAAGGCACTCTTCCGCACCTTTGCCTATCTATAACAGTCACTCTTGACACTCATAACTCAGTGATCGCTTATCCGTTTCAAGAGTTCTTGGGCTCGTTGGAACGAGCGTGTTGAGCTCTATGCATCAAGACCCTAATCAAGTCAAGACGTTACAATTTGAAAAAGTAATGAGGGATTTACTCTATCGCCGAAGGCACTCTACCGCCGAAGGTCCTTGCCACGAAGAACTTGCCCTGAAGGCCTTTGCGCCGAAGGCTTTCTACCGCTGAAGGCACTCTTCCGCACCTTTGCCTATCTACAACAATCACTTTCGACACTCATAACTCATTGATCCCTTACCCGTTTCAAGAGTTCTTGCGCTCGTTGGAACGAGAGTATCGAGCTCTATCCATCAAGATCCTAATCAAGTCAAGGCATTACGAATTGAAAAATTTATGAGGGATTTACTCTATCAGATGTTTTAAACTTCTCATTTCGAGAAAGAAAAGAAAAACTAGGCTACCACACCTACTAGCCATTACACCAACTCCTAATCTTGCCAAAACTTTCAAAAAACTCCAAGCATAATTTTGCAAGAGCTTAAATCCAAAATTTTAATTCTCATAAGATTAAAAAGACATGTGAGCGCATTTTTGCGCTCACAATAACATTTCTTATAACCTAATATAGATGACAAAATATCATACAAGCTTTCGAACACGTGAGTTATATTGTTCAACTGCATTGTAAGTTAATTGAGAGAATTTTTGTTTTATTCATATTTCATTGTATAAATCAACACTTCTCAAAGTCTTCCACATGCAAATGTAAATAACTACTCAAATGAAAATTGACGTGATGATAGATAGATAGTGTCTTCTTCCACTGATTTATAGTGAAATTTATAGAAATGGCTGGTTCATTGTCCAGCACTTTCGTTTTCGTGTTTGTGTTGTTGTTATTGAAGCATTCTTCGCATATATACCGGGACCATAGAGCCTTCAAATTCGTAGATATTTTCGATTCTACAAAACAAGCTCCTGTATATATATACATACATACACCAATAAGAATATAATGTATAAAATAATGCCAAGAAAATATTATTATTTATAGAATGATCATAAAGAAGTGTACTCCTTTATACTGGTCTAATGCAAATAGAGCTACTTCTTGCGTTCAACTCATGTTCTAAATTTGACGATAGGCAATGACATTACATACTCTATGATCTAGATCATGAAGTAGGCTTTTTGCATTTATGCAAAAAGCCTACTTCATGATTGTGATTAATACTTATTACCTAGGATGCATTTCTGTGAGCTCCATGACATGTGATCTGAACTGGTTACTAGATATCAAGGTACGCTCCTCACTTTCATCACCGATGCGAGGTTTCCTATCTTCCATTATATCCCCCAAGCTTGTACTGTTGCCCCTGAGCTCTTTGACGATTTCCATAGCTACATCCGTGTAATAACCCACTCAAGGCTAAAATTGCAATATAGTGATAGAAAGGTCGAACCCACAGGGACAGAGGAACACACAGGGTACACAGTGTCACATTTAACAGACTATTGAGGAGTTTGAATTCTCAGGCGACTATCACTCCCAGAAATACTGCAAGTGTTCACTCGGAGCTCACTCGGAGGTCGCACAGTGCAGCGTAGTTCACTCAACACACACACACACACACACCTAAAATTACAGAAACACAACCCAGAGATCAGTTAGGACCTCTACTTAAGATTTCAGGTTGGGGGGGGAAAGTCTCTCGCAAATACACTCAGCGAATCTGCGGGTAGTGACTCCCAACTGTGGCTTTTACAACCCTTCCACCAGCCTTTTGCTAGCGTGGGAAACCCGGATTGGACTTCCTACTTCGGATCAAAGTCACTCACACGCGGTGAACAACACTCTCAACTCACAAAACGCGCAGAGAACACAGGTCCGCACGGAGGGACTCAACTGAGAAATGATCCAGTAGCACACCATAACTGTGTATTGAAGAGTTTGAATTCTTAGGCACTTGTCATTCCCAGAAATACTACAGGGGTTGCCCCGCAGGCACCTGCTGCAGCGTAACCTGAATTTACAACCAAGGCTTACACGAAGTAGCACAATTTCACTTTGGCATTCAGGGGAAAAATCCCGAAAGAGTCCAATCAGAAACAATCACTCGAAGGTGTAAGGGGGAAACTGTTCAAGTATCTAACTCGTCACTAGCTCTAAGCATCGGCAATCACCCGTAGGTGTAGATCCGAACTACTCAAGTCTCTAACCAATGTACTAGCTCTGAACATTCGGCCGAAGACCTTCAGCTACACAATGCGGACCGCCAAGGTGTAGCTCCTCTTGCGTGGTGACAGAACTAAGGACACAAACACGCAGAGAAAATGGGTTCCTGATTTGCACTTCTGAAACTGGGAAAAATCCCAAGACGCCTTGAACTACTTTATACCTTCTAAGTCCTAACTAACACTACACTGCACTACGCTACACGCCTGCACGGAACCACGCTACACTACACTCCGCAGAACCTGTGCTTCGTCTCCTTCGCGACGGACTGCCGCGCACTAACTCCCTACCCTGCCAGTCTTCAGCTCGACTGCGCAGTCCCAATCGCCGCAAGACCGCGGAAACCTCCGACTCGAGGGTGGCCATGGTGTCCCGCGATCTCGACAGAAAAGAGTCTAGCTTCTTCACCACTCGCCGCCGACTCCGACTGTCACCTGCCAACAACCCCGCTGCACGAAGCTCTAACTCGCGCAGTGTGAGTTTCTCCTGCGCCGCCACTTCCCAGTGGGCGTAACCTCTAAGACAGTGGGTGACTCGGCTCGCCATCTCTTCCTTCGTGCGATCTGCCTCCCGCCGGCGATCGTCTTCAACAACAATCAACTGCAATTCGGCCTCCGCACGTTGCACTCTCAATTCCCCGCACTCGGATTGCAGTCTGCGGATTAATTCCTCGTCCGCATGCCGTGCAAGCTGACACTGCTCTAACAACCGTGTCTGTCGCACGAGCTCCTCTGACAAAATTCGATTCTTAGCCTGCTCAGAATCCAGCTCCTCTGCGAGCTTTGCCTTCTCCTTGGCGAACTTTTCCAGCTTCTCGTCCTTCGTCTTGTCGAAGGCTTTGTACAACTTCCTATTGAGGTTGTACTGACCCCACAAGCACGCATGTTTCTCCTGTAGATCTTTAAGTTCCTGGTACACTCGGCTCAACAACTTGCTGGTGTGGACTTTAGTGCGGGTTCGCCTCCTCACTAGCTCAACGTAGGCTGGCGAGGGTCCACGTACTTCTCTACCTTGCAATCCAGATACCTCAACAAAGGTACTACTTGCTCACAGAGCGCCGCCGTCGGCGCGCCTACCATTTCTTGCTCCTCCTCCTCGGTGGATTCCGATCCCGAAATTGATTCAGTTGATGCTCCTTCTTCGTCATTCTCCGAATTGAGGATTTCGGTCGCCATTGAATTCGTCGGCGATTGGCCTGTGCGAGGCTGCGAGATGTCTGCGTGCTCTGCCGCCGCTGGCACTCCTGCAGCCTCGCTGCTCCCTGCTAAAATGTCCAAGGCGGTGGGTGAATGGGGTCGTGCCGAATTCACAATCTTCCCCCTGTCCCGTTACCTCCTCGCCGTCGGCGTCTACCGTCGAAGGTGGTCGTGCGGAATGTGCCTGCGCGGAGTGTAATTGTGTATCGCGCGCACGAATTTCACCCTACGGACAGTCAATCTGCTCCTTTGTTAGGTCCTGTTCCACCGATCGGTCCCGCTCCACAATTAGGTCCTGCGCCAAGGATGCGTCCGGCCTAAGCGCAGGCGCAATTCCCGGCGGCGCTTCCGCTGAGGGCGCAGCGCCGAAGGCGTCTACCGCCGAAGGTGGTTGAGCCGAAGGCGGCCCGCCCGATGTCCCTTGTCCCGAAGGCCCTTCCGCCGAAGGCGCACCTTCCGGCGAATTTCCCGCCGAAGGCGCGGCTCCTGCCGGCTCTCTATTCGTAACTCGGTGATCTGAAGGCCCTGGCGCCGAAGGCACATATCCCGGCAATCTCACCGCTGAAGGGCCTTGCCCCGAAGGCGGATCTTCCGCCGGCTCCTTCCCTTTCCTGCGTTGCACCGGGGGTGAGTCCTGCCTATGCGTAGGCGAACTTCCTCCGCAAGGGGTCGCCTATGCGTAGGCGGCACACTCATCCGTGCCGCACGTTGCTCTTGCTTGTCTCACCTCCGCCGAGGGCGTCGGGTAGTCCGCTGACCCCTCGGCCGTCCGCGCAGTCCCATCCTTCTCCGGCGATGGACTTCCCCTTTGTGACGATCGCCGCCGTTTCCGCGCAGTTGGTAGGTAACAAATTCTGTGCGCCTTCTGCTTCAGCCAGCTGCAGATCTCGTGTAGTGGTTGCTTCCGGGTGAGAGCAGTTGATTCTTGCTGTTGCTCCTTCTCCGGTTCTTCTCTCCATCTTCGCTTTCGCAGCACTCGTGCTGCTAACCTCCCATTCTGTTGATCCGGAGGAGTGGAAGTCGAAAAGTCCTCCACGTCGGTGTCGACCTCGTTTTCCCGCACATACTTCCCGGGATGGTAGCCTGACAAAGGCGTAAATCAAACACGTTCGGCCGCGGTTAAGCAACCCATCGACCGATAAAAGTTTATCAAAAAGTGAGAGAGGTGGTTAAGCGTGCCTCCCCGCTCCTCAGACGCAGGCTCTCGCATTACCCTATGCAGGATACGCGACTAGTGAACTGGAGCTCCGGCGAATGTGAGCTCCACGAAAGACACTTGCCACAAAGTGATGTAAGTAATGCGGTGCAGATGCAAGAGTTGCAGTAGTGCCATCGCTACGGTTCTGCGGAAACGATCTTTATAGTCCCGGATCCTGTACCTGTTATTGGAGGAGCTCTCCCGCTTGAACAATTCCACAAAGGAAGCTTCATCCGCCTTCGACACCTTGATGTTCTCACTGTCCAACGGTGGGTACCCATCCTCGCCTGCACACCTTCCCAATGCTTGTCTCCAATCGTGGACAGTCCAACGATCTACGTGCGGATGGAATCCGCGCGTAGGTTGCCGTTCCTCGCTCAGCCATTCGCGTAACATGTCCCCGCACACGTAATTCCATCCCTACAGCAAGAAATCGAGTTTACTCCCAATCAGCCGATCCTGAAAAGCACGCAACCCATTCTGCGGGAGCTTGAGTGGAACCATCCGCAGATTCACCGATGTCGACATCGCGTTCTTGAAATTGGCTTGCGCACCTCTCTCTCTGTTATGCCCGAGCCTCTTGCTCGCGGTTCTATTTCCTCTGCAAACTCTAATTTCTCTCAATTTCAAATGTCGTGCATTCAATTCTCTCTCTTCCACTGGGTAACTCTCTGCGCGATGGTGTCTAGAACGGCTCTCAGCTAGAAGGTGGACGCGCGCAGCTCGCACAAAGAATTGAAATCGCAAATTCAAGAATGGGGTGTCCTCTGTCCACTCGCAGGGTGTCATGGACAACTCTCGGTCGTGAAAGTCGAATCACTTGATGGCTACGCCGGCTCGGAGGTATAACGTCCTGCTCTCTCACGCGCGGCTTCACGCTCCGCCGACGCGCCTTCACTCACTCGCTCGAATTGGCAATTTGAACTCCGCCAGCATCCTACGCCGCAGCCATGGTCGCATAGCGCCGAAGGCGGATTTCTCGTCGATGCGCTTCACTACCGATGTGCAGTCTCATGCCGAAGGCGGCTGTGCCGAAGGCGTTGACTGCGGTCAACGGAACTGCTCCATAAGGTGCTGGGAACTGTTCCCCTCAAAAGGTTACTGCTCAGATTTCTGTACGTACATATGTGCTCACGTCATTTTAATGTATCGCAACGAAGGCAGTATTCTTCGCCATAGCAACGAGAATAAACTGACAAATTTCAAGGAGTTTCGAACAGTTGAGTCCCCTGATGAGTTTGACAGGTTAGTAGTTTAACAGACGTTTAGCTTCACTTACAGATATTGTAAGCTTGAAAGTTTGTCCAGGTCAAAAGTCAGGTCCCCAGTTAGTCGGTTGCTTGATAGGTCCATATTCTGCAGATTCTTCAGTTTCTCTATCTCCGTAGGTATCGCTCCGCTGAAGGAATTTCTACTGAGGTCCCTGTATAACAGATGAGTCACGTAAATAAGAAGGGAGTATGAACTTCATAATCGCTTAGAAGGAGGTATAAAGTCACTTTATAGAGAGAAACTCCACTTAGGATTACTGGTGTGCGAACAAAATCTGGCTCAGCTTTCTGCTTTCATGGCAGCATCTTGAGTCAAAATAGTTAGATGTTTTCTTATGTGAAAAGTACTTCTCCAAAGTATGTCTCTGTAATGAAGACATCATCAAGCGATAATGAACTCAGCTGCTAGCGATAACGATCGCCTATATATTCCAGTAAGATTTTCTGAGGTTTAATGTAAGAGGAACGGCAAAGTTATCAATAATCACAGGAATTTCACATGAGTCGAATGACCAGAGTCGTGTGAGGAAAAGAATTAAAAAAAATGTGTAAGTGAAATGTGCTTCTCGCAACTATGTGTGTTAGGCAAATATCAGACAGCACAGACATTGACAGCATCTGTTTAATGGTGTGCTAACATGAAGATACAGCATCATCACAACCTCACTCGCTGTCTAAACCAAGAGTAATGTTACGAGAAGATGACTGCATCCAAAAAACAGCGTAAATAGTGCAACTTACAGGTTGAAAAGAGGTTCAGCCAGTGAGTTGACGAGTAAGGAAAGGTTCCCTTTGAGCCTATTGTTGGAGAAAGATCTGCAAGGAAGTGGACAAGAAGGTCATCTACTTGATCCTATTCAAAAATAACGCAGAAGTCAGAACTAGAGTGAAACACTAGATGAGTTCAGCTGGAAAATACTGGATCATCCCTCTTGTGTGCCAATGGCTCCATCGAGTTCTCCAACTACTTTAGCCATGAATAAATACTCTGCCATCCTGCTTGGAATGAGCGAAGGTTTAAGATACTTACAGTCTTTCCAGATTCTGAAATGCCAACGGCGGAAAGCCTGGAAGTTCACCTTCCAGCTCGTTCCCTCCTAAGTTCCTAAAGTTCACATAAAAGATGCTTGAGATCACTACGCTAACATTAGCTTCGATTTTCGAATGGATACGTTTGGTTAAACAACTAATTGGAGAAGTTGTGTAAACTTTTTCAAAATCGATCACGACAGACCTGATGCACCAAAGAATCAATGAGCTTTAATCTATAGAGAACACAAGTCACTGTGGCAATCTTGACGAGAGCAATGTACAAGTGAGCAGATAAAGTCATCTTTAGGTAGCCAACAATTAGTGACATCAAAACACTTCAGAGTTGCGATTACTTCTTACATTGCTGTTAGGGTCATGACATTCGGCAGGGACGGCACGCGACCACGAAATGAATTGTTAGACAAATCCAAAATGGTCAGACGATCCAACCCAAAATGCCCAAAATATGGGGGCAAATTTCCGCCCACGCCTCTGCTCGTAATATTTCTGCAAAAGCGTAGAGTTCGTCTCAGTTGATTTACCTCGTGCACTTCCGCTTAGCATAAGTTTTTTCTTCAATTCTACCCGAGTTCTCCAGATGCTTCAAAGGCTTCTTCTGGATGATTCGTACGATCTTTTGAACTGTCAATCTGCGCAATAAATATCAAGAGAGGAATTGCCAAGCGCTTGCACATCTTTCTTTGGAAGTGTACTAGAGTTGAGAGCCCACTTACATCTGTGTAACTCGAGGTGGTGTTTCGATGCTGCAGACCACCCAGGCCCATGGGACCGGCAGGCAAGGATCGCCGGCTGTATCCAGTAAACTGGGAGCGCTCTCGGAAAGGCTTTTAAGGGTGCTAGCTGAAAGTTACAACACATATAAAAAATTAAAATTTTACAGCTGTATAGTTCAAAGTTTCAAGATCATCAGACGTTGCAGACTGAGAACCATCAACTTCAGAGTCGATTCAGCGATCAATTGTTCTCTTCTGAGATCTCATGGAAATCCACTTGCCAGCAGTTTCAAATACTGGCAGGATCGTCCACACACTTGTTAATCTATGAGCAAAAATACAGCCGAGTACAGCGAGTATGGCATTATCTTACGGAGTTCTTACCATCGTAACGGAATGTCCTCCATACCACAGCATCAAATTCTCCATAAAACTCTGCTGCATTGATCAATCCGGGGTTTGGGCTCGTGCCATTTGCTCTGATTTTGAAGGTGGGAGCATTCGTCGTAAAAGCCCAGCCCCTGCTATAAACTTGTAACGAACGATAGTTGTCAATTTCGTCTTCGAAAATCCGTTCCTCACGATCGTCGTCCAAATAGGCGTTGACAAACCGAGGGTTATTGGCAGTCTCCAGCATATCGTAGAAGAGGAGGCTGAAATAGAAACTAGGGACGGCTCGCATTGCTCTCACTCCCGTCAAATTTACCTCAAACGTCACGTTATTCTCCATCTGCGTCGCAACCCAGGCTGTGCTCATCACCTCATCCGGGATATCAATCTCCGCATTAAGTGGAACATGAACACGCGAAACATTCGTTCTAGAACTGAATTGCTTTTCACCGCTGGGGATCTTCGCAGGAGCCCATATCCGGTCGTACTTGTCAACGGGATATCTGTACAGAGCGAACGCTCTCGATCAGTCACAGCCATGGCGCCGCAGCAGCAGTCGCTGAGACACCTCAAGTTCTGGCCAGCCAAACATAATTGAAAATGATAGCACCGACTCAGCGACCGTGGACCTGAAGCAAGTCGTACCTCAACTGCATGTCGCCTCCAAAATTGAGCCGGGCCACTGTCAGGAAGTAGGTCGTGATGGACAATTTGAGCATCCCAGAATCGACTCGAGGATACATGCCAACTGCAAAGGGGCGCAGCTCCAGTGCGGAAATGGCCGGCATGGACGATCTGTCTTCGAGAGGGACCAGGCACACGTACACCACCTTATCGAACGCGGTGATGACGAGCTCGAGGATCTGGGATTGGTTCTCCAGCAGCTCGATGGTGGAGATGTACGTCGAGTCCACGGTGAAGTAGAAGCGCTTGCTGTAAGTGCTCAGGGATACCTCGTCTCCTTTGGCATTCGTGGCCTTGGTGATCAGATTGCTGCTCGGAAACGTCGCGCGGAGGAGGTAGTTCATCGGCTCCTCGGTTTCGGAGTTGAAAATCGGCAGATTATAGCAGAACTTCGATCTCGGTATGCGGCCTATCGGGTAGAAAACCGACGCATCCTTCAAGCTCTCCGAGTTGTTCACGGGACTCGTGCTGGGCTCGGGAAGAAGGCTGGCGCTGATAAGGACTCCCTCCGCGCGCAGGTCAACGGATGCCTCGATATATCGCTCATCGTTCTCCCATTTCAAGCCCGTGACCGGATCCGTGAAGGGCCCGCCCCCGCAGTTGAGGGTCACAAAGCCTGCGCATCAATTCATCAGCTCCGCCAACTTTTTGTTGCCACTTCACACAAAGCTCAGAATCCCAGAACCTCTGTCCACAAGCTCGGAAGATTTAATCTCCCCTCCCCTGCCAGAGACTCTCGTGGGGTACAGAGAGCATTTACTTTCCAATCATCTCGTTGCCCTTCAGACTCATGACTTTAAGCACTTCCTTCCCTCTGCCTGAGGCGAGGCCTGTCGCCATGAGACTTTCCAGAATTCATGACTACGATCCGCACATCTCTTACACACCGTCCATCATTCAGACCCTGAAGCATTTGCAGAAGAAGAATGGTTCTCTTCCTTTCTTCGAATCAAATGCAAACCTTCTGGGGAGATTTCGCAATTTCGAGTTGAAGGGGGTGAGCCTGTGAGCACAAAAATGCGCTCACAAGTTTTGGCAAGATTAGTAGTTGGTGTAATGCGCTCACAAGTTTTGGCAAGATTAGTAGTTGGTGTAATAGCTAGTAGGCAAAGGTGCGGAAGTGGCTTTCAGGGTAGGGTCTCCGTCTAAGTTCCTTCGGGGAGACTATTCTGATAAATCCAAGTTAAGACGGTGTGTGGGTAACGCACCCTTCCAACTTGTTTCATACAGCCGAACCTGTCTAAGTTAATTCTGCCGGGACCAACGGTTATTTATAAATTTATACAGTTTATTAATAAAGAGAGGTTCTCTATTCGCGTCATTTGTGATGGGGCAGTTATTAGCACATTGACTAGAGTCACTGGTTCTGTATGAAAAGCTAAAGTCTCGATGTAACAGCGAGACATGTTTCGAGATTGAATTATATCGAACTCAATAGCGTTATAGCGCCGTCGTCAAACCCGTAAGCTGCGCTACAGAGGAAAAAAAATCAAGATGGTTGTCACTTATGCTTGAAAGTTGCTTCATTTGTAACAGTTGCGTTCACCCTGTATAGCAGACACAACCAGATGCAGAACCCAGTGGCTTCAAAAAGGTCCACCAAGATGAAGATGACAAACGAGGTTTGGATAGCTCTTTGTGAGCACAAGCAAAGCCTCCATCGCTGACGCAAGCAGACCTGATCAAATGGCTTCAAGAAAAGCATACAGGTTCTGTGAGTCAAGGAACAATTTCTCTGACTCTCAAAGGTTCAGTTGAAATCCTTGCCAAGAAGTAGGATGTGAATCGCAATCCTTGCCAAGAAGGAGGATGTGAATCGCAATCCTTGCCAAGAAGGAAAATGTGAATCGAACAGCAAAGCAACAGCAGACTGTGAAATACCCACTGATCGAGACAGCTCTGTACTAGTGGTTCCTCACATATCAAGACCAAGTAGGTCTCCGCCCCTCGCAATCCACGTCATTTCTCTCCACCGTTAATTTCTCTGCAGTGGTTATTAATGTAAAAAAGTTTTGGGACTGCTTGTGGAATATTAGTTATTAACTTTTGGAGGTTTATTAATGAGTACAAGGACCCAACTTGGAACTAGACTGAATATATTAGTTATCACATGTTATTAAATTAGACATTATTAATTTAAACAGGTTCTACTGTATATTAAATCAGTGAGTCTAGGATTTTTGCCAATTGGCTATGAATCTCGTGTATTACTTAGAGCGGCGAGTTTGCTCGTCGCGCCAAACATTTTATCTTTGTATTACCGTGGACACAGCCAGAAGGGCGAACCAATTAACTAAAGTGTTTGCATTCTCTATAACATGAATTCTCTTGACATATTATTTCAAATCCTAACATTTGTCATATGGAGTTTAGGCTAACTAAATATAATAAAATCAGTTAGATTTATTCAAACTTTTAATTAACTCTAACCATCATTGCTGTTAAGTGTTTTAATTTTTATTTTTTACATCTTTTTCTCTTTTATTCAGATATTATTCACAACAAACTAATTAGCTCAAAGTGCAAACATATGAATATTTTTGGAACATCATTTATTTTTTTATCATCAGTCAGATTGCTGAAATAACAAAGATAGAGGTTTTTAATCCATGTCGTTTAGAATATAATTAGGCAATATAATTTCAAATTGAAAAGAAAAGATTCTTAAATCATGAGAAATACATATTTTTTTCTATACTCCATCACATAACTCAAAATTTTCTTTTAGTGATAATTTGAGTTAAAATGTCCGATCCATGATTCTTCTTCTTGCATTGCTCAAAAATTATGTATTGATATGATATTATTAATTTGTAAAAAAAGTTTACACCATTTTTAATAGACATCAATTATGTGTGATGAACAAGCAATAGACTGCTTCAAAATGCTAGCATCTTTCAGAATCACCTTGTGTTAGATTATACCTTCATTCTTATCTATAATACATTAAAACATTAATTCAGGTTCTGAAATCTGAAAATCCTCAATGTATCATTTTATACCTCCTATTTTCTCATGGCTTTTTATCTTTATATGTGAAGATGAACTTACAAACTTATGAGATGAACTGCAAATACGTTTGAAAATGATATTGTTTCATTGCACTGGAGTAACTTGTAGTACAATCTTTTACTCCATCATCCAACCTTCAAATTTAACTAAAAGCTTAGTCCACCAACAAGCAAAAGAGACATGCAATGTTCTCTCCCATAAGGTTAGATTATCACTCCGTGGTTTTTTAATATCTTAGAGGTAAAAAGAAGTAGATTACTCTCTCGAATCTTGTTGCTATTCCTCTCCAATTTTTTGCCAAGTAACCTCCAAAACATAGATTAGGATGTACACATAACGAATTTTACAAAGTGTGTTGGACTTTGAAAAAGTTCCTCTTGGAATTTGAAACTTGAACAATTAATGCAAGAATCTTTTGGTCCATGTTTTAATGGATAATAGATGTATCATAATGAATGACACCAGCAAAAGACCTGAATAACATTCGGAGTTGCGCAAGTAGGCGATGAGAAAAGTCCCAACACGATAATTCGTTCAATGCCATATACTGTATTATATATGACATTGAACGGTATATATCATATATACCTTCCGAAACCTGACCCTATCTTTATGTGAATCGACCTTCCTCTGACGACTCTCGACTCAGACAACTTAATTGCAGTCAGGTCTTCGGGCCATGTGTACCTTTCTATCTGGAAGACTTTATGAAGACAAATTGTGCACGAAATCGACGAAGTCAAATTGCATGTCTAGTGGGCGTTCGCAACATGACTAGAGTTGAGTCGTTCGTCAGGTTCGCATGCATGAAAGTTGGATAAAATGCTCATGTCCGCACATCCAGGCTGGCTTTATTCGGAGTTTTCCAATACCTTTAGAGATGTTTTCGGTTGTCGCTCTACTGCTTTAGAGGGGTATCTTCCCTTGTTTTAGACTCGTTGAATATTTTGAATTCTTTTTAGCCTTTTGACCCTCAGGTACCTCGGGTTTGATTTATTATCATTACCTTCAGATGCTTCGTCCTTTTATATTCAAGACCTCTTTTAATCATATCGACGTACGGGATGTTTTACGAATCATTACTTTAGAATGACTTAGGGTAAGGCATTGCTCCAAAAGCAAAGCAATGCCTTCAGATGGCCCCCCCTGATCCTGGAATTAGGATCCGGAATTGTGGCGACTACATTACCGGTTTGGCCGTTTACCCTGATTATGTAAGTCAAGTACTTCAAGTCAGGTAAACAAATTGACCGGTTCTATTGGTTACTTCAACATTCAATCGTATGAGAACACGAATCAGCAGATTCTTAACACTTAAATAAATCTTCGTATCATGGCTCCTAATCGAATTGTTTGGAATTCGGATATTCAAGAAATTATTTTATCAACGAATAGTGGGCAAATTGGAAAGTCGTTCATCGTCAGCTGATAGTCATCCAGATCAAGCAAGGACTAGGCTAGCGGGAAGAAAGGAAGTGCAGGAGTACCTTTGAACGGAGAACATAGAACCTTTGGACAGAGGACAAAGTATCATTAGACGAAGAATCCTTCATCACCGTTGTTTATTGTTGTTGACCACTGTTACCTGGTGATCTTTGGAATATTTCATTTGATAAAAAATTTCATCTTAGTAAAATATATTTTTTCAAATATTCTTTGACAGAACGTTGCAAACATTTCTAGGGTTTAGTTTGGGAAACAAATTGCAAAAAAATTTGTAATTTCTCTTACAAAGATTTATAGACTAATGAAAAAGAATAATCTTTCACTCAAACCAGACTAGCTACAACCTCAAATGTTTGTACTAACGAAATGGCGGTCACTGAGTCTGGAAATCAAAGATAACAAGTGTAATGACTATTTGCTTTGAGAGAGTAGAGTTGAGGAGCAAGTTGAAGGTTTATCTCGGCAAGAAATTAAAACCAAAACCATGTAATTACAACAACGACATATGGAAGAACTTCAAAGATCAAGCTGTGAATATTGTTATATTTTATTTTTGTTACATTAGTATTTAGAGAAAATCATACTCAAGGATGGAAAAAAAAAATTGAAGTTTATTCTGAATTCTGAAAAAAAAAACTGTATAAGGGATATCTCTCTTATATAGATCCTAAATTCAAAATAAAAATGAAAGATATCAACAATGGTTTATTCTCCCTTATATAGATCTTACAAAAAATTCTTTAAAGATAAAATCTCATACCTATTACTAGTGTATAGATGACAGAACGGATAATTCTAATAAGCACACAAACCGCTGATGCAACTATTATGGCCACTAGTGAACTTAGCCCGGAGTTCTCACAATCATTTGGCCATAAGTAGAAGTAAGTAGGACTTTTTTGATAACTGGTAGCGATTAACTATGGAGCTCGGTTGCATCCAACTACCAATCGGGAAGTTAGATAGCTGCAGTAGTAGTATTAGTAGCTGGACTTAAAGGATCCGGATTTTTAGAGATACGAGATCCGGAATTCTAGGATCTATTAAGTTACTAGGACTTAGTAACTCCAGGTGGGGATTAGTACTTAAGCCAGAAGTTTTTCCAAAGCCAGTACCTTGTTTTTGTATTCCATTACCTTATGAACTTCAGAATGTGTTCTTAAAATGTGATGAGTCTAAGTACAAGATGGTTGCACAGTGTGGTAACCCACTTTTTGTTTTTTATCGGAACTAAAACATTTTTGAATAGTAAGTACCGCGGCAGTAGCTGTAAATAGTAATCGGTACGCGAAACCAGAGGA